AATATCATCCAAAAATGAAAAATTTGAAACAAACTAACCATACGTAAAAATATAAAACATAAACTAAAATACATGTGAACTTAGACGATGATTAAATTTAGAACAATTAATTCCTCTTGAACTTCTGGATACTCCAGCATTGCAAATTTAAGGTATTGTTAGTCCTAATTCAAATGTTATTATAGTTACTGATTGATTACATGTGCTTTTCAAGCTAGGCTGAAATAATACTTTGTGTTCAGAAAGGCTAGGATTCCTTAGTGTAAAGGAGTACATCTTGTGACGGATTTACTATCATATATCTATTTTAATAGCGATGTTTGTTTAAATAAAATTTATATTTAGAAATTTACATAACTTATACTGTTAAATCTGTAATTGCAAAATTACTGCATGTTCACTAAAATTATATAAAATTCTCGAGTGTAAGAATCAACAATATATGTATGTACATAAACATTGGTGCATCATTTATATTGTTGCGTAAGCTGAAATTTCAAGAAACTCTCCTTACGCCTATAAATATAACCAATGCTCCGCGCCAAAAGACATTATATACTATTGGTTTGCTATATTTGGTGTGCTATAAACCTCGAAAACTATAACTGTGATTGTTAGAACGCTTATTAATCGGGAACTTCAGATATTTAACCAGAAAGTTTATAGGTTTCAAATATTACAAACCATTTAATTTCAGCGGATTCACATCGAACATTAGTATTTTTACGAAAACATTATATAACTTCAGCGGTGAATAACTCGGCGTGTAACTGGCGAAGAACGAAGCACACAGAGCTAGCTAGCTCCCTTTTAAGTGAATTGTATCTACATTAACTCAAAATTAATTCGCTCATCGTGAACCCTCGATAGGATATCAAGGAAGTACCAGACCAGATAGAGGACTAAATATTGTTTGTAAGTTTGTAAAACTTTTGTACATAGATCATTATTTGTAATAACCGTTATTGTAAATTGTGTTATTGTTTGTATATTAAAATATATTTGTATTAAAAAAAACAACTGCGTGTATCAATCTTGTTGGCAAGTATCATAAATTAGATACATATCGACATTTATTTAATTTTTAAATCTAAATTATCATTCAACGGAATTTGAGGCTACTTGAAATTGTAATACGTTACGTAATAAACTGAAGACTCGCTGACTGGCATTGCTCAGTAGTTTTCTAGATACAACTATCTGAATTTTGGATGGATTGATAAAGACATGCAGAGGTCACATCAGCTGTTTATTTTGGACAGCTGAGTTTGTCAATTAGAGGCATATTCCTTAAATATAAAGTTATCGAGATAAGGCTTAGAGAAACTACTAAAACTACTAAGACCCATGTTGTTGTTGTTGTCTGTTATTAAGCTCAAAGCTACACAAAAGGCTATCTGTGCTCTGCCCACCACGGGTATTGAAACCGGGTTTTAGCGGTATAAGTTCGCAGACATACTACTGTGCCACTTGGGGGTTGAGCGTTTTTCCCTTTCTTATTAACGTTTTTGATAATATTGTATTAAGCTGAACAGAGAAAGTGGTGAGAGTTGTCGTGGCTTATCTCGAAACTTGCTGTTACCAGATGTGTAGCTGTGTTTGTACAGAGTACAGTTTTATGTTAAGCTTACAACCTTTACAATACAGCTTACAAAACATCTGCAAGCTACGACAATTTGAACTTCCAACAACTGGAATATTGTGAACGTTTTCTTGGCCTTTATATTTGTGTATACAACATACCAGTTAGCGTTTAAATATATTGCTACATTGGTCGGTTCTTAGAAGTTTGTTTGTTTGTTTTAGAGGAAAGCCACATTAAACCGCCTGTTGTGCCTATCGCGGGTAATCGAGCCCTCGACTGTAGAGTTGTAAGTCCAGAAACTTGCTTCTGACCCACCGAGTTTCTCGTTTGTATTATTATTTGGTTTTCGTCAGTTTGGTGCCTTCAAGGTTAATCGTTTTCGTGTATTTTAGATATAGTTAGTATCTTACCCTTAGATAATTTTGAGGGTAAGTTTTATGTTCATTTTCGCAGATGGAACACGAACTTCTATACCTATACATGCAGTCGTAATGTATGGAATTGAACACCTGTTCACGTATTATCTCCTCTGGCTTCTTGATCATATGTTCAGTTGCTGTGTGGTGTTTTAGTTTCATTAGATCATCTTACTATCGTAGTCGTTATGGGAACAGAGCAGTCAACGGAGGCTAGGCCTCTTCAAAGCTTTTAGACTTAAAATATTTCTTATATCAATTCTTATATTTTATTTGTTTTGGGCGAAAAAATTCTTGAAAAACTGAATATATTTGAAGTAAAATGCTCAAACATCTTCCTGTCTCACTCTATGCCATTCATCGAGGTGACGTCTGGTGGTGTGAAGTACAGAACAGTTGCGCCTTTAGGCTCGTTTTTTACTTATACCTGCGACTGAAACAGACGATAGTAGAGAACCCTCTTATCAGGTTTAACAAGAATTTTGAGGATGGCCGCATAGATAATATAACCACTCAGAATCTGTCTTTAAGGAAGAAGTGTGACTAATCCCGGATTAACCCTAAAGTAAATCTAACTAAAGTTAGGAGAGTAAGAAGTGTGACCAATCCCGGATTGACCCTGGAGTAAATCTAACTAATATTAGGAGAGGAAGAAGTGTGACCAATCCCGGATTAACCCTGAAGTAAATCTAACTAAAGTTAGGAGAGGAAGAAGTGTGACCAATCCCGGATTAACCCTGAAGTAAATCTAACTAAAGTTAGGAGAGGAAGAAGTGTGACCAATCCCGGATTAACCCTGAAGTAAATCTAACTAAAGTTAGGAGACTTAGAAATAAAATTTAATAATAATATTAAATATCTTGGAATCACTTTCGACACACGCCTCACATGGAGGAAGCACATTTAAAACATTAGCAAGCGCATCAATTACATCAAACTCACTGCCGGTAAACAATGTCTGTTCACCAGACACAGTTCTTAAAATATATAAAACATTTATACGCTCCCCAATAGAATATGCCTGCCAGATAACATATCAAATAACCTCAGAAAATT